TCTACAATTCTACTCAGCAAACTAGTAAATGTGGACGAGCCCTAGATGTCACAAACCTCTAAAAATGTACCCAAAGTCAGGCAGAAGCAGTCCCTAACACACTAACACACAGCAAGGACAGCTTTTGTGCTTCTCTGCACAAAAAATGATGAGGTGAAGACGACAGACAAGCATTGTACACCATCCATGGGAAACCCCCACACCAGAGGCCTTCCCTGAAATGTGCTGCTGCCCTTTTTCCCTCACCATCCATTATGCTGATCTGACACTATAAAAGGTCTTGACCATGCTGGAGAATACAACCCCATCAATGAACATTAAAAGATTTATTCCTTTAAGTTTATATTATAAAATTCAGCTGATGTAGCTGCATTACTTGGATGTGAGAAATTTGCTGAGTGACAAAACTGGTGTTTATGCAGCTCTGTTCCACTTAGTCAACTGAAATTTTATCAATTGAATAAAAAGAAAGAAATGCCACTTGGAAAAGTGGTCTCAATACATGAACTAAAGTCAGAATCTAAGTTCTATGTCTATAGATATGGCTTCAGTGGGGTACTGCGTGAGGCAAAAATGTTTTCCACATATTTAGTAAGTGTCATCGTTAAATTGCAAAGCAAACCACAACAAATCTGAACATTTCAGTATTTGTCCTCTTGACTTAGGTGACGGCAGAATCTCAGTAAACACCAATGACTGAAATTTGGTAGAATAGGCCCACACATTCAAGACAGGCCCATCAGCCTGTCATCTACACCACCAGCATGCTGTGTATGGTCTCTACAGAAAGCCGAATGCACCAGGGATCATGTATTTCACATAATGTGTATAAACCAATGCGTTCTGAAATATTTTATGTGCTTATCAACTGACCCATCTGGACGCAGAGCATCCACAACTGAGATCATGTGGGAGGCAACCAGCTGCCAGACTGATCAAAAGAAAAGAGAAACAGCCCAGCATACCCAAATCCCTAGAAGAGCCACTAGTAGTTCACTCCTTGGATGACCAGGTCTCTCAGGTCCTGGGCTGCGGATGACGACTTCAAGGCTGCACATATTCAGAAATTAACTGCACAAGAATATGAGGTGGGATAACACCGTCAGCTTAAGGCACCCCTTGGAATCCCTCACTCTCGCTGATGAGGCAACTCTAAATGAAGGATACCGAAACCTGTGGAGAGGAATCCTATCATTGAGTGCAGATCAGAACTGATTTTTATAGTCCCCTCTCGCAGAGGCAAACTAACATTCCTCTGGTACGAAGACAGCAGATGCGCACGCTGCACTTCAGCCTTCAACTCAACTCAGCTTATTCTCCAGTACCTTCTCTCCAACTTAAAAAGAGAGCAATTAGCCAGTGTCATTTTCTGATTGTCACCAACCCTACTATCCAGGCTGCAAACATTACTCTATTTTTCTTCTAAAAAACACATTTAACAAGTTCTTGTTCATAATCTATTTTACAAACAAACAAAAACCAGGTCTAACGTCTACAAATAACACTAAGCTTAGTCCCCTGCTGCAGCAAGCAAAAGCATTACTTTTACAAACCAGTCGCACTCCATCTAAGAAGTGCTGGGCTTTTGCTCCTCCTTGACCTTTTGGAAGGCTGCTCCCGAACATCAGTGCTCTCTGACGGTTAGAAATTTTCAATTATTATCAATCTTAAAATTTATGTTAAATTATTCATGTATGAACATCATTCTTTAGCTCAGTTTATTCCCTTCACAGTGTTTACCCTGATGGTTTAACAGAAAGCAAAAAAGGCCTCTATTCTGCAAAACTAAAAAAGCCAAATGCTTCTTTCAACAGACTCTTAATTTTCCTACCTGTCCTAGGCACATCTTCCTCCATCTGTTCTACTTTACCTTTTTACCTGAGAATAAAGTATTCTAGAGTTTTGTCCATGGGTAACAGCAACTTCTTTTTCTGGATCATCATAGGCCGGCATTCACTTTTTCCGCAATAGTAGAGCTTGTAACTACCTAACACATGCTTTGGTTTTGTGTTGCTTTCAACCGGTAAGAATTTCTTCTGTAAATTGTGTGCTTACAAGTTTGCAACTGCAAACCCTTGTTCTTTAAATTGTTATTGTACTTATTTCAATCTCTGTTCTCAGGATCGCCCAGTTCTTCCCGTGTAGTACTGTAACCATCTTCTGTAGTGCCAGTGCCTCCCAACTCCTCATCGCTACCAAATTAAACCAGTAAAATTTTGATTGTTACATCAAGGTATTTATTATATATTTAATAAGACTGGTCTCAAGACGGATCTTCAACTAACTAATTTTATAATCTTTTAATATTCAGATTTGATGGATTTTCTTTTCGGTATTACCCACCATAGTTTGTCCTTAGTTACTTCCCCATCCTATTTACAATTCTGGTATTATCCCTATCTTTTCCACACAACAACAATTTCCTTTGCAGCAGCTGATCGAAAACTTTAGTGTTGTCTAGGAAAAAAAAAGAGAACTACCCCATTTCCCTTAAACACAGTAATTACTCTATCAAAGACAGTTTTGAGGGTAGGGTAAAAAAGGTCTTCTGACAGGAATACGAGTTGCCTTTCAGTTTCACCTACCTTCATTGCTTCCTCCCAACAGTCATGCCCTAAAGCAGCAGGCCCCAGGGGCTGCGCGCCTCCTGGCTCTCCCGGGAGGGCAGCGGCCTTCCCGCCCCCCTTCCCCCCCTCCCCGGGAGGAAGGCTGGCCTGGCACTCGCCGCTCCCCCCCAGCACAGCGCCGGCTGCGCTCCGCCCCTTCGGGCCTCGGGCCGGGCACTGCCCAGGCCCCGCG